GTCCCTTGATTGCTGATGGCCTTAGCGCTCCGTCGTGCACGAACACGCAGCCGTTATTAGGAAACCGCTCACGACGGATTCAAGACGCCCGCCCATTCTCCTGCGGCGCCCTTCCTGGTGCGAGTGCCCTCAGCTCCGTGGCGCCCGTAGATGGCTCTCTCGGCGGTGGGTCTTGTCGTCTGCCACTTGGATTGTATTGTTGATTCAATAAAGAAACATGGATTTGTCATTGGAAAATATCAGATATTGCGGCAGAAATTTTGAATTGCATGATCTAGAGCTTATAACTCGGTGATCCTTCCCGGGGCTCAGGGAGACAAAATGTCAACCATGCAATAGATTCTGTATTTTGGAACCAGTGTAAAGTTGACAATAAATTTGTTTTTGTTGCGTTGCGATCTACAGTAATATATTATAAACAAAAACACACCAGATACATTTACGTTTTCCTAGACTTTTTGTCAATCTTCCTCAGTTGGCTTGGCACCTCAGCTGGCCTGAAGGCGCCTTGCCGGTTGTGAACTTAGTCCTACTCTTTTGCCAGATGTTTTGACACTCGTCATATATTTTGGTAATAATAACAAAAGTCAAGTCTTTTTCTAAGGTAAAACACAGTTCCCCACACAGTGTGTGTGTGTGTATGTATGTGTGTGTGCTATATAGTACTATATATAATATATATATATATATATATATATATATACATATATGTATGTATGTATATGTATATATACAATATCCGATACACACACCACACACACACACACACCACCACACACACACACACACACACACACACACCACACACACATATATATATATATATAATATATATGTGTGTGTGTGTGTGTGTGTGTGTGTGTGTGTGTGTGTGTGTGTGTGTTGTGTGTGTGTGTGTGTGTGTGTGTGTGGTTGTGTAATTATATATATATATATATATATATATATATATATAAAAATATAATATATATATATATATAATATATATAATATACAACAACTAACAACTATATACAACCATATATACATATAATTATATTATATATTAATTATATATATATATGTGTGTGGTGTGTGTGTGTGTGTTGTGTTGTTGTGTGTGTGTGTGTGTGTGTGTGTTGTGTGTGTGTGTTTGTGTGTGTGTGTGTGTGTGCCTTTTGTATGTATGTGTATGTGGTTTGTGTTTGTGTGTGTGCGAGTTTGCTAGGCTAGAAATGTAATTAAGAGCAGAGAGGCTGACTTGCATTGAAAATCTGCCCACAAATCCGACTCCTGCCAGTTCATTCTAGACATAATTACCCAAAGTTGAAGTGGCAAAGGCAACATGAATTGTCATGAACTGCACGTTGGCTAACACTGCAACACAAACACAAACTATTGCCCATACATGTCCACGTGCATATCCCACATAATTATAGGAAAATGATGAAAGGCAAAAATGATGTCCTTTGCCTCAAGAGCAATATTTCTGCAGCACCGACCACAAGAACATCCATGACGGAGATAATGCTACGTAAACCGACTTCGGAGCAATCAGTTCCAGCTGTGGTATCCTCACTGAGTCAAGGCTCGGGAGTAATGTTTTTGGAATTCTCAAAGTGTACTCGAGGCCCTGAACAAACGCGGAAAGAGCGCTGCAGCTAATCTTAAATGACATAAAGATTAAAACCACATCCAGCGAGAGAGCGCGGCCATGGTATGAGATTAACCGCTGATCGTGCAAGGGAGCGCGATCAGCTGCCGCGCTCTGGGTGAGGACGCCGTCGCATGTCGGAATCTCTGCCTCACGCCGAGCGCCGAGCGGGGTCGGCATGCGAGGGAAATAATAAAAAAAAATCTAGATTACGTCTTAATAGGATCTCAGAAGGACTCAGATCCCTCCTCCCCCAGCAAGGAGGAGTGGGTCGATCCCCCGTGGAATTATTAGTCTTGAAAGCTGTATCAAAAAGCATTACGAGAAAATGCAAAAAAAGTACTTCGCCTACGAATCAGGTGGAACAAAAACGAGAAGATCGATGTCGTGACCGCGAGAATAAGCGGTCGACGGAACCAAGATTGAAGGAACATCAGGGGGACTAACTTACCACAAGCGAACATGCGAACACACCTGAGAATCTGACATGATACACCCTCTAAGGCCACCTGATATGAGTTACGACCAGCTACTTCATCTCCTAATATATACTTAAGGTATATGCTAAACAATCATATTCTAATACAATATGAATAGAGACTAAGAGCAAATGTATTAAAACTCGTCCACAGATGAGCGATTGCCTTGCTGATCTAAATATACTAATAAAACCTTGTAAGTTTCAGGCAGCGAATATCAGTGATAAGAAAAAATCATAGCAGCTAAATTTCATACTAAATATCTAATATAATATGCTAATGGCTTTAGTGGTATCAGCAGAGGAAGGAATGGAATGGTCAATATTATAGATTATTAATTCATTTTCGTTTATGTATTTTAAGCATATGTATGTAGCATGTGCATATTTGATGGCTAATGGCTCATCATCTCTCTGGCTCTCTCTCTCTCCTTTTCCTCTCTCTCTCTCTCTCTCTCTCTCTCCTCTCTCTTTCCCACTCCCTCTCTCACCCCCCGCCCCCTCTCTTCTCTCTCTCTCTCTCTCTCTCTCTCTCTCTCTCTCTCTCTCTCTCTCTCTCTCTCTCTCTCTCTCTCTCTCTCTTCTCTCTCTTCGTCTCTCTCTCTCTCTCTCTCTCTCTCTCTCTCTCTCTCTCTCTCTCTCTCTCTCTCTCTCTCTCTCTCTCTCTCATCTCTCTCTCTCTCTCTTTTTTTCCCCCCCCTTTCTTACCCTTTCTTTTTTCTCTCCTCTCTTCTCTCTCTCTCTCATATATATATTATATATATATATTGATATATATATAGTATAATATATATTATTATATATGTATATATATATTATATATATATATATATGGACTATATATGTGTGATGTCGTGTGTGTGGTGTGTGTGTTGTGTGGTGCTTCCATGCCCGCCG